CTAGGGATTGAACTGGCCCCTGCACCTGCTTGCAGGCGCTTTAATCCACTGAGCTATTTGGTTGGCCAAAATTTTTTTTTAAAAGATTGAGGACAGAGTATACAATCTTTCATGTGACAAACATCTCAGTAATGTGGATATCACCATTTTTAATTAAAATATAATGATAATTAGTGGTATTTATACAATGATTTTTCAAAACTTGGAAACTCAAAGTGATACAACATTTGTCACTTTTATCACAATGGCATAACTGATTAGATTAGCTAGCCTGTGGAATTACAGTCTTTGGTTTTCATGAAGAAAAAATAAAAATTGAATCTGCTAGTACAAGAAAATATAAAACCTGACCTGGTGTCAGGATTCAGGAAGGTGCTTTGAATTGTGTGCTCAGAGCTTGTCACTGGGCCTCCCTTTCCTGAATCCCATGATTCATCCTTGTTGCCTCCCAACCCCCGAAAAAGCATGTCACCAAGTAGTCTCAGGAAGTGGGGATCAGGAAGGGCACCGTGGTACCGGGCACAAGGTAGCAAAGTGAATTTTATTAAGACGTGTGCTTCCTTGATTATTTTTTCCTCATAAGACATCTCTTTTTCTCTTATTTAATTCAAAAGTCATAATGTTTGTTGTTTAAAAAAAAATCACCATGAAACCAAAATAAAATATAAATTACAATGCAAATTGCTCTTTTATTTCTTACTGCACTTTATATATTTTGTGTGTTTTGGACTGGACTGTACACCTCTATATAATTTTATTTTATAAAAACTGCATAGAATACATATTATTCTGTAAGGTTTTTCATACTTAAAGGTCATAAAGTTACTTTTCCCATTTCGATATATGTAGTTTTACCCTCATCCATTTAATGACTGCATTATTTATTTTTTCTGCCTTAAATTCTTATAGTACAATTTATCTGATATTTCATAATTGTATATAATAGTCATGTACATGTGATTTTTTATCATTTTTCCTATAAGCACAAATTCATATTCTTCACTTAGCATGCACTAACAATCAGTTGAGAAATCCTTCCCTCCCACACCGTCCCCCAAGTCTTGCTTACGTCTGCTGTATGCATCTCCTTTCTTTTGCAACAGGTGAAGAGCGAGCATTCAGAAACAAAAATCAGCTTGGGGAGCTTCTTTAGCACAATTGTGCACAATGAAATAAGCTCCTTGAGGAGGAGCACTTTTATACCACAGTGATTGCCATTGTAGGAACAGGTGTTTGGAATCCCACTCAGGAGAGCTGGAAATGAAAGAGGTTGGCAAGGGAAAGATAAAATTTCCTTGGCTACAGCCCATGGGAAAATCAAAGAAGCCAGGAAGCAGATCAAGGAGCATCCCTGGAGCTTACAAGGGCACCCCAAAGCCTTCAGTGAGGAAGAGTGCTGGAGAGGAGATGAACATGGCTAGCTAGGGATAGCTAGGATGTAATGACAATGTAGCTGAGGCCAATATGCAAAAGGCCATGACTTCCTGCTCCTAGGTCACCAGAAAAATGGCTCCTCTTGATGTCTGTAAGCAAAATGTATCTATTATGAAAAGTTCTGCAGTTTACAAGAAGCTTACATATTCATGAGCTATTTTGGGGGTCCCAGAATGCTTTAGTAGATGGAATGGATGTCCTGTGCCTCATTAATAGAGAAAGTTAGCCCAGAATCTAAATGTCAAGCTACAGAACTGATAATGATAGGGTTGAACATTCACTTTTCTTTGTTCCCATTCAAAACTCAATGCTTTACCTTGAGAACCATATTTCCTTCAAGGCTTCCAGCACCAGATAGACAGCATTCTAGACAAATTAGATATGCATTCTCCAACCTACCAGCAGAAGGAATACCTCCAGAAATTAATTATTTTTATTAGAACGTACTAGTTAACAGAACATTTGGCTTCATTCCTGTATATGAGAACATGCATCTACACAGTGGGATTGTTACTCCCTTCATTACCTTCTTTCTCATCTCCTCTCCCTCCTTTTAATCCCTTTCCTCTTCTCTTAATTTCTAGTTCCTGTCATTATTTCAAGAAATGTACAATAATGATATTATAGACAATATATAGTGAGAGCTCGCCAGCTCTCACTAATTTTTTATTTTCTATAGCTTTTGAGTTTGCTTATAATCCAAGGGCACAGCCACTTACCAATCAAATGCAATAATCCAGCTTGATCAGCACATTTTAATAGCATGTGTTTTTAGAGGCAGGTTAAATGGCAAGTATGAGAGCATCTTATGCAGAAAAACATTCATGGAGTATCACTCAAATTTCAAGGTAAATAGTAGCTCAAACACTCAGGTTTTTAGAAAGAGAACTCTGGTAATCTTTTGTGCATCCTCCAAATTTTATTTGGAATTAATTCACAAAATTAGGAGGAGAATAGTAGTAAAGGTTCTATCTGTAAGCTGGAATGGTTTGAGTTGTAATGAATTGTGTAGCCTGTTTAAAATGACAGAGTGCTAAAAAGAGCTGTCTCATAGCTCGTATATTGCTGGCTTGATAAAAAGTAGCTAATTGTACAGTATTTGCTATATGCCAGGCACTGTGGCAGGCCCTGTACACACTATACCTTTAATCCTTACAATACTTCTGTGAGATAGGTACCCTTACTCTGATCTCTGTTGTTTCATGCATGAAGAGACTGAGGCAAAATTCTTGCCTCAAGATAGGCAGACCAATGACTGACCTCAACAGCTGGGTATCAGGTTATGTCCCAAATCAAATAGTGCACTACCCTCTGAACATCTTTCATTCCCCAGAAAGATGTGTTTAACCTGCAGCTAGATATGCTACTCATTGAGTATAACTCATCTACTATATGTACTTTCTTCCTCAGACTAGCTGTGGTGAGGGCCAGGAAAGGAACTTGTGTGCAGCCCTGGGTTATTGGCCTTATCAGCTTTCTATCCCTGATTGTGCTGGCAGTGTGCGTCGGACTCACTGTTCATTACGTGAGATACAGTAAGTATGAGCTGCCCAGGCAGCATGGGGTTTAGCCCACATATTTCCTCATGTTACTTCCTGCTTTGCTTTGCCTCAGGCTTGTTCCTTAATACCTAGGATTCATTTGTACAGCCAAGACAAAGGAATCTGTACCTCTGTTATGCCTCTCTTAATCACACAAAGCCACAAAGATTCTTCTACCTTTGATGTGGCAATGCTTCCTGCTGGCAATAGTATACTCATTTTCATATTAATTAATAAGTGGTAATTGAGTCTTGAGGAAGATCATAAGTTAGCTAGAATCCAATATTTTGAGTTGTTTCAGGTCACAGCACAATCATTTTGACTGAAAGTAATTAACTCATTGAAATCTTGATGTACAAATAAACCAATGATAATTTATAGAGAAGTAGGCTTTATGCAGCACTCCTGAGTGGGAGAAATGTTCATCATGTTAGCATGTTGAGTAAGTACCTATTTCTGTTATTTAAAATTTTATCTTGGGATATGTTACAACTAAAGAGGAAAAGATATGCTGAGAGGGTTAATTATAAACAGGCTCTCTCTCTGTGATTATCAAACATCTCACTACCAGATGAGCTGCTAGTTGCTATCTTATTAAAAATGTCTCTGGGGTACTTTAGAGCTATTCTTCCACATTATAACAACCCTTTTGAAGTTTTTTTCTGTGCTACTTTGGGTTTTAATTAGTTGACTCAGCTATGACCTGTTAGTTTGATCTCTCTCTCTCTGTGACTAGATTATGCTGTGATATTCCAGGTCCTGAAACCATAGAAGCTACTCGCTTGATTTTAATTTAATTGCAAATTTGCTAAACATGTTTTCTGTAGAAAGAGTGATCCATAACCTGTTTATCTTCCTCTACTCCCAACACAAATCTGATCTTAATTTCTAAAGCAAAGACATTACTTCTAAGTAATTTAAGGAAAGAAATGTTTAAAACATTGGTTCATGTGTGTATACAAGTGCTAATGCATATGTGTGCTGTAGAATTTGCCCACACACAAATGTTGTTTTTTTGTTTTGGTTTTTTTGTTGTTGTTGTTGTTGTTGTTTGTTTGTTTGTTTGTTTTCGGTACCAGAGATCTGGGGATTGAACTTGGGACCTTGTGCTTGCCAGGCAGGTGCTTATGCCGCTGAGCTATATCCCTGGCCTCAACACCTACAGGTTTTAAATCTCAAATGTCTTTATTTTAAGAAGAGAGATCTTTCTGGATCATGGTTTTAATAAAAAAGAATATTAAAATATTTTTACAGTTCTGTAGACTGGTGAGGAGCATAGTGCATCTCATTATGTTGTAAGCATCATCATTTTTTCCTACAGCTGCTTAAGACAATAGTTCATTTTTACTTCCAGAACTTAGCAGAATTCTGACACATATTAGGTGCTTTATAAGTCAGTAGTGATTCACAATAATACACAAATGAATCATACCTACCATCTTTTCTTAGGATTTTCTGACTTCACAAACAATTCCTAGTAATGCTAATTGCCTAAAATGACTTTTGTGAGAGAAATGCTCCTTGCTTTATCTTTTGACCATTTCCAAGATGAGCTTTACAAAAATATGAGTCTGTTCAGGTACACATAGGAAAAACTTGGAAAGTTTATCCAGTAACCTGCTCCTGGATCCTGTTTGAATGATGAGTTCAGAAATACGCAGTCCTTGCCGTGCCCACACAGTACACCTGAATAAACAATGATTATTTCAGTGTGTCTTATATTTGTGACTTGCCCTCTGTTTAGGGACATAAATTAATAAAATTAGCAGGTGTCATCATGAGCATTTAGGTGTTAACAGGCCAAAATAACCAAGCCAAACCAAACAAATCTGTTACACAAGTGTCCAACTGTAGATGAAGGTGATTGGATTTGTAAAGACATCATTTTGACCCTTACTTCACAAAGCCCAGCTTAGAATTCTGTGTAGTCTGTGTCCAATCTTCGGGGCTCTGTTTCTGCTGCTCTATCACTTAGATAAGGTAAGAAGGTAAATCTGCTCATGAGTAACATCATTGTAAATTAAGAATAACAAATCTTTTAGAAAGTATGAATGTGCTCATATTCCTGGCCATCTCCTCTAACACACATATAAATGTCTCAGACCTGTCCAAACTTCATTGCTTTTATGTTAATGCTGTCAGGGCTTTTGAATAACTAGGCATATCATGTAATTCTGGCAGCTTGAAATATGTTTCTAATACTTACTGGCCTATTTTAAGTCTACAGAACAAAGTAAAATACTGAGCAGAGGTAAGTTGTTTATGTAGTCAAACCCTATGAAATTACCAACATTTGACCATATTTCATTTATATGATAACTTAAAATAATTCAGTATAGTAAATAAATCATAAAAGCCAGGATTCAGATTATTGAAGAATCTGTCATCCTCTTTAGTATGTGTGTAAGTATCAGCTGCATCAATACCACCTGAGGTCACGTTAGAAATAGTCTTTTTAATTTTTAATTGTATGAATACATGTTTGCAGTTAATGCAGCTTATAATCTTCTTGAAATATGACTACATGTACATACCATAGTTTGTTTCCTTTTTAATCCCTTCCCCTTCCCTCCCCCTCCTTTAGTTCCCTCAGTTCCTTTACCCTATTTTTCATTCTTATTGCGATTATTAATCTCAGCTCATGTTATGTCCTGTAAGGTTTACATTCCTTGAGGTTATTAGGATCCTGCATATGGCATATCTTCATTCTGCTTTTTTCCCCTTTCTTGCCTCTTTATCCTTTGCCCTTGTTCCCTTGGACCACTTTCCTGTTGGAAGAGATCCATCTCCTTGTCCCATTCTCATTTTTTTATTATTCTCTCTATTTGTATTTTGCCTCACTCAAATGAGAGATACCATTGATATTTAAGCCTGTGTATCTGGCTTACTTCACTCAGCATTATATTTTCCAGGTGCATCCATTTTCATATACGTGTCTTCAATGTGTCATTCTGTATAGCAGAATACTATTTCATTATACATGATATCACATCTTCTTTATCCAGTCATCTCTTGATGGGTAGTCAGGCTGTTTCCAGGATTTGACTATTACAAATTGTGCTACTTATAACCAGTTTATAACACTGGTATGCATGTATCAGTATAGTATGATGTCTTAAACTCTTTAGGATAGTACCTACTAGGGGGACTGCTGTATCATCATACATAATTTCGAATTTTAGTTCTTTGAGAAATCTCCGTACTGATTTCTATAATTATTGTACTAGTTTACATTCTTAACAACAAACTTGTGGATCCAACATTAAACCAAATGTACTAAAATCTGCATGCTTCACAGGAGCCACAGGTGGTCCACGTGTACACTGTAGTCTGAGAAGCAACATTGTAGAACAATGAAAGCAGCCACACAACTATAGACAGATTTTTTTAAAGCAAATATAGTAGAACAGTAATTTAAAAAGATAGTTGCATTGTTTTTCAGTATTTCAGTAAGCTAGTACCTTACTTGAAATTATGCATTGCCAGGGACTTTCCTGCATTTCATCTTACCCTGGTCTTGCATGGCAGGGACATTTAGGAAAAGGGAGATGAAGGGATAGTAGAAAGGTAAAACTCCCCCAATTTTCACTAAAGGTCATGGTCATACAGGGGACATATGACTTTCAGTGTCTCCACTCTGATAATTTTTTGTCCATTGCTCTTGTCATCAGGCCTTTCCAGAGGTTGGAGAGCAACTTCAAACTTTGTTCCACTAAGCCTGCTGGATAACCAGGCTGTAGTTGTGATGTTTATCAGCAATTTTTAATGTAAATTTTATACTAAAAAAATCCCACAGCTTCCGTGTGGCTTTGGTTTAATCTACTTCAAGAAACAGTGTGTAAAAACAAAAAAGTGTATGCCTTAGTAGTTAGACCTTGGCTTAATTCTGTATTTTCTGGCTGTGTCACATTAGGGTTAGGAAAATTATTTTAATTTCTCAGATTGGAACTCTTAAATATAAATCATATTGCCTTCCCATCAGGCAGTTGCAAATTAAATAAGATACACAAATATGCCTGAGACACTGGTAGTCAGGGTGAGTCTCCTTTTCTTCTGTGCTTTAAGTGAACAGGAAAAGAAAGGAATAGAAAGAAGAGAGGGAGATTGGATGAGGATGGTCCATTTTTCTATAATATATACAACTCCCTGAACATTATTGTATTCTTAATGTCTGTCACAGAAAGAAGTCAGTGTTAATAATATAAACTCTTGTAATTCTGTCCTTGTTTCATGTATAGGAGGGAAAAGGAAAATGCTGTACTGTCCTATGTCGTTAGTAGGTCCACAATATGGAAAATTTAAGTTGGATGCTGAATAGAGACAATGGTTAAGGACCACACCAGACACGTCTGAGGGTGTTGGGAGAAAACCACTAGAGGGACAGTGAAGCAGGTGAAATAACACTGCCACCAGAAGTCTATGACAACCAGTAGTTCCAGCTTCCTCAGTTTCTCTTTTCAGAATTCCTAGCATTTTAATTCCTACTCTTACCTCTTTAGCTAAAGCAGATTTTCTCACAGTAGAACCTTGTCACCATAACTGATGTGTCATTTACAAATTTGCTGTTGAAAGATTTCAGAAAAAGCATTCACCCTTAGAAAGCTTCTAACACATCCTTATTTATGTGCTCAGGTAGCAATGCTTGCTACCCCAGTGATTTAGGAGTGAAAAACACATGAGTATTCTGCCTTCACCCACAGGGCCACATTTGCACAGTACCTCAAGAACACCAGGTAGTCCTTACAGCTTCTGCACACTAAATCACGTGATGATGAATGTTGTTGTCTTTTTTCTGAGCGAAGCCTGGAGAAAGATAATGAATATGATGTCCTGGGGGAGGAGCATTCCTTTCTGCCTTAGCCTGTCCAGCAGCCACTAAATGGAATCATAATGGTAATTCATATGCATCTGATAAGAGTGATTATGGGTTGTTGTCTCTCTTCTTGTAGGTCAAAGGAAGACTTACAATTACTATAGTACACTGCCATTCACAAGTGACAGAGTATATGATGAGTTTGGAAGAGAGGGTTCCAAGAATTTCACAGAAATGAGCCAGAGAATTGAATTAATGGTAAGTAGTGTTTTCTCTACCTTGCTGTCACTTTTCACCACTTATTTTAGTATCCTTTTTTTTTTAAAGAAGTACAAATTTATTAGAGACATCTCAGAAAACACACAATATTATAAACAGAAAACACTATGTAGAACATTTGTATGCAGCGATGAATATTTTGGTATATTTGCATACATTATATGTATTTTATAAAGAAAGTTTCATTCACACTTCAAGGATTTCCACTTTCTCTTTGCATTAGGCACTTCTCATTTCTCCTTTTTCTAAATACAATTTCTATGATATATTTTATTTTATTTTATTTTTCATTTTAATGAGAAAAAGGATAAAATAGCAATGAAACAATTTCAGAACAGGTTAGTAGGACAGTTACAATAATTAACAGCAATGGAACACCCATCTCTGACAAAACAAAATGAAAAGGGGAGATATAAATAAAGGACCATTTTGTGTGAAAAAAAAAAATATATATATACAAGATAGTTAGAATAGATATAAAGCTACTTTCTTAGTTTAATGAGAAGAAAAGTTTGTACTAATATTGTTTAGACAAGATATCTCATGCCTCTTGTCCTCTAGTATCCTAACTTCTAAAACCCATCCAACTGATCTTTGTATACTTTTGCAAAACAGTAAGAGGCACTACATGACATAGAAGAGTGTGTCTTTCAAGCCTGAACCAAGTGGCCTTTAGTCATTCATTTATGCCCCTCCTCAACTTTCTTTAGATGCTGCCACAGTTTTGATTAGTAGACTCCCAAAACTCTAGGAATGTAAGAGTGGATTGAATATGGTAGTTGCACTATAGGACTTCTAACTAAGAAACCCTGAGCCAAGATTGCAACTATTCAGAAACATACATGAATAGGGTTTTACCTTTTCAAAATATGTAACTGTGGGCCAACTTTTGGTCCATGCATCAAGAACCCCCTGGATACACACTTCTGTCCTTAAAGCACCATTTATATTGACAGTTGAATCAAATATTTGAGGAACTTGAAAAATTAGCATGATAGACCAAAAGAATAAAGGCCTGAGTTCTAGGTGCTTATCATTATCAGAATGCATAAAGAATAATTTGGACTTTGCTTTGTTTTCTTTTTTTTTTTTTTACGGAACTGGGGATTGAATTCAGGCCCTTGTGCTTGCCAGGGAAGCACTTATTCCATTCAGCCATCTCCCCAGCCCCTGGTTTTTTCTTTTGTGAGGATGATATGACTAAAAGGACACTGAACTAGAGGTTAGAACCTCTAATTCTAATACCATCGCCAAGCCGTGGTGTGCCACTTGCCACATCTCTTTCTCCTTCTAGACATGTTTTCTTCACATGACAACTAAAGTGTTAAATTATATATTTTTCAAAGTGCCTGCTAGTGTCAATATCTTGAATTAGAACATAATAAATGTGATTTGTGTCAGTTTTTCTTTAATGAAATAGCAGAGGCCAACTACTTCATCAAGAAAAAGGTTTATTTTAATTGATGGTTCTGGAGGTGGGAGGTCTAGGAACAATATCTGTTGTGGTTCTCTTAAAGCCAGCATCTCCAGGTAGCGCTGTATAGCACATGACAAAAGATGTGGTACACATATGTCTATGTTGGTCTCTTCTGTTCTCTCCTTCTTCTTATGTGGCCACCAGGATTCAGTTTTGCGGCTCTTATCTAAGGACCTTAACTAATCCTAATCACCTTCCAAATGCCATACCTCTTAACATCATGGTCAGTTTAAACTTACACTATTTTTTAATACCTCACAGCTAGGATTAAATTTCAACAAGGAAAGCTTAGGGGAAACACAAACCATATCAAAAATACAGCATGGCCATACTTTTCCTCTCTGACAAACTGATGAGCAAAGTGAAAGCCAAGGATTTGGTTATCTTGCTGAGGAGGTCAAATCCTGCTTATGTATATACGCCAAGAGCAAATTGTGAACATCAATGAAGAAACTTTGCAGATGCAGTTCAGGCTGGCCTTGAGTTCCCTTCATAGCCCAGGCTGATCTTAAACTTGTAATGTTCCTGCTGCCTCAGTCTCCTGAATGCTGGGATTACAGGCATGTACCACCTTACCCGGTCAGTGAAGAAACTCTTAAGGCAAAATATAATAGATTTATAAAATAAAAAAGGAAATAGAGTTTAAAACATCAAGAAACAATACAACCATTTTCCTTGTACTTTTGTCCCATTTGCCAAATTAAATTTGTAAGGATTCAGATCAATTTGATATGAACAAATATAGATAGGACTCTCTGTCATAGTACCTCTAATATTACTAATACTTTTAGAATTACTTGATAAAAATAGTGTTAAATGAAAATATCCAAAAAGATAACTACTTAAAAGACTTAGCTGTCTTACAATTTCAGGAACTGCACCTGAGTATTCAGACTCAGGAGTCAATGAAATTTAAGAAGCAGTGCTTCGCATGTCATAACTGTGCTAGCAGATAGTCACAAAATAAAGACACCAAGCCCTGAACTTTTTACCTACCTGCACTTCTAATTTTAAGAATTAAGTTCATTTTAAATACTATTTATAAGACATATCTTATAAATAGTACTTGAAATGAAGCATATAGCTAGTACTGCATACTTCCATCTTATTACATAATGCTCACTTATGTTTGTCAGGTATCCCAGCTCATGTGGCTTTCTAAGACCCTTCTGGGTACTCTTCTGGGCACACATCATGAAGGAATATTTGGCAACTTTTTTTTATACTATAAATAAATACAATTTTTATTTGTCAATGTAAAAAACAAATACATTATAACAGAGGAAAATAATGGAAAATAATGGCTATAAATGAAGTCAGGACACCAGCTGTCTTATTCTTCCCACTGTTTTTGGTCTGTCATGAGCATTTCTTTGTGCAGTGCATTGAAAGCAAATAACCAATGCACTGTTCTCTCACAATTCATTACCTGTCACTTGTCCTTTTTACTAACAGTTTTTTGCTTTCTTTCCTTCTTTCTTTTCTTTTTTTTTGGGGGGGAGGGAGCTATTTTTTATTTGATTTTATTGAGAAACAAATAGCAGTCAGACAGTTTCAAAGCTGATTAGTAGGACAGTTTCAATAATTAATCCATTGCATATTGTTGTCTTTGTAGTGGGTTCATTTTGAGAACCATGGGACACTGCTATGCACCCATTTCTGAACTCCAGTGTCACTTGACAAAACTATTTTGTTGTCTCAGTCTACCACAGGGAAATTCCTTATTTCAAAATTTAAATACTGATGTTTACTTTACAAAAGACAGCTTGGTTGTTTGTTTGTTTATTTATTTATTTATTTATTTATTTATTTATTTTTGCAGTATCAGGGATTGAACTCAGGACCCTGCACTTGCCAAGCAAGTGCTTTATTCTACTGAGCTATCTCCCCGGCCCCTGGTTTTTAACATTTTTAAAATTGTAATATTTTGGTGTCTTTCTCAGTAATACAGCAGAAGGCACCTCTGGCCTCATTGTGCTCCTAGTACCTTTCATGCTTATGTAAGTGTGGCAGGCATCACTAGGGGTAAGGCTGGGAAGACTAAAGTCCAGTACATCATGGATTGGCTGTCAGGGTTACATGTTCTTTCTTTAAAAAAAAATATTTCCCTGGAACTTTGAATTAACTGGTAGAATACAAATAAACTGTTCTTGCTGACACATTTTAAATATTTTTGAACAGGTAAAAAATGCATTTAATAAATGTCCACTGAAGGGAGAACTTGTCAAGTCTCACATTATCAAGTTCAGGTATGTAAAGCTAAAATGTTGACTTCTTATTCTATTTAAAGCTGAGGCTATTGTCTTGGCCACAGTATGTATATTTTAAAGTATTAATGTCATAATTCTATTCAAAAGCATTTATTTCACATCTGTCCTGTATAAGTCGTAGTTTCCAGCATTCCTCACTCATCCTCTCACTCTGATGGTGAGCATTGGCAAGGTGCTTGTTAGAGACGGTATACTCCATGCCTGTGCAGTAACATTGCTCCTTGACAGTCTAACATATATGCCTTGGCTTAACTGCAGTACCCTACAGAAAGCAGTATGGTAGAGGTTTGTCTTTAGCTCTTAGTTCTCTTCCTCATTTTTGTTTGCTTCCTTCTATTCTACCTCCCTGTGCTCCCAATGAATACCAGATCTGTCAGTAAACTACCAAGAAATTGACAAGTTCAGAATATAAAATTTTAAACAAAATAGTACATTCAGATTTTAAATAACATATTCTCGTAAAGCAAATTATTTATATGCTTTTTTCAAAAATAAAATAAAACTATTTGCAGTATTATTCCATGGATAAAACTCTAAGAGTTATTTCTGTTACTTAGCTTACATCTCTGAAACATTACTTTGCCTACGTTCCTCTGAAAATTCTGGACTCTATTGTGTTTTACATAGGGTCTGTCCTTGGATCTGCCTCTACTTTTCTAATCTTTAAATTTCCACTTGCTACATGGCTTCAGAAATATTGGAGTTCCATTTTCTAGCCCCAGTCTGAACTCCTTTTCTGATTTCTGTAACTATCTGGTTCCTCATGCACATCTCTACAAAGAATTTCCACAGAAAATTCCCTGACTTAAGGAAAACCCAGGCACTTTACTGAGAAACCCAGCAGTCGCCATTCATGCCTCCCTTTCTCAGGGTCCTTGAGAGCCCACATATGCTACCTACTTTTGGAGTCACTTTCCGTTTGCTCACCTCTTCATTTCAGTAGACTGTCTCTGCTGCTGCTGCTTTTTATTCTTTCTTCTCATGCTGCAACAATAGGAAGCGCGAGTTTCTTGGGAATGTGTAGATAGTTTTGGACATGTTAGGATGTGAGGGGACAACATGAGCCTGAAAAATGAATCTAAGAAAAAAAAGAAAAGAAAAATGAATCTGACATTATGAAGGCTATAGAGATTTAGCTGAAGATATAAACTTCCTCATTGTCAACTCAAAATATTAGAGCTCAGCAATTTCTCAGAAAGAGGGGATGATAAAGATAGTTTGAAAAATAACATTGAAGATAAAAAAAGAAATCAGGACCCATTAAAATAGAAAAGGAAAGGGAGGAAAGAAAATTTCTGAAAGAGGCATCACTTATGCTAAAGATAAGAAGCTTCAAGGGAAGCATAGCATCAACAGATATTCCTAAGACCATGTAAGCACTGGAAAGAATCCAGTGGATTTGCCAACCGGAAGCCATTCCTGTTCCACTGGAAAACAACTCACTGGGCATGAAGTAAAAGAAACGGACTGTAAAGTAGATAGGAGCCAGAGTATATTTGTCCTGTCAAGAAGGCTTGCTGTGATTAAGAAGGTGGGAGATAACCTGAATAATGTTGTACAGAGGCTTTGGTTTGTTTTCAGTCAGAATAGGACTAAGAGAAAGAAGAAAGAATGAATACTAGTAAGGTTTGTGAGGCAGTGAAAAGTTTGAAGCAGAAAACATTGATCTGAGTGTGTTGTTTTCTTTCTGATAACAAAAGCAGTATAAAATTACAGAAAATCAAGTAATGCAATATTTTATGAAATAGAAAGTAAGATCCCCTTTTTTCCAGTAACTCTAATCCCAGAATAACATTTCCTTAAAATTTGATTTTGAACATTGTTTCTTTTCTTTTCTTTTTTTTTTTTTTTGGTTGAACATTATTTCAATGACTACATGATCTATTTTAATCTTTAACAGACTATATAGTGCAGTATTTTACTAAAAGTGTGTGTCAGTGCTCATTTAGCCAGTGTCCCCTTGATGAACACAATGGTTGTTATTTATGTTTAGAAAACACGAATACAATGAACTTATTCATATACATGTCCTACTGCATATAAAAGTGTATTTGAAGATTTACTTTTTAAAAGTGGGAGGTGCTATCAGTAAAAATAGTATTCAAATTTATAACATATAAAAAAGTCTCACATCCAAAAATTAAGGTTTTCATTTATTCCTATTTATAGTTTAGGAAAGCAAATGTTGATGCAGTATTTAGTAAGTAATAACAGTGTTAGGGAACTGAATGTGAAAGTAGGGTTGGGGTAGCCAGCAAGGTGACTCCAAGGTAGTGTATATGGCATTAAGTCTATTAATGCTTTCTCTTGAAAAATAGTGTCACAAAAGTCATAGGACTTGATGGAGCTTTCTGAAAGCCTTAGGATTAAGAGTTGCTTGGGAGAGCCTAAAGCTTATTTAAGAGAAGTCAGTGCATTTAAGTAATAAAATCAATAGCTAAATGTGCAGTTGATTTTGCATTTACTACATATTTCACTTAATTTTGGATAGTTGACAAGTATCTTTGTATCAATAATCATACACTTGACTAGACCTTTTGGTGGTTAGGATACCATGAGCCTACTACCTTACCGCCGGGGTAGCTGACTTAGAGTTTCTGTATGTAGTAAACAATAGGAATTTAGAAGGAAATGTTTATTGCTTTGTGCGAGTGTGTGTGTGTGTGTGTGTGTGTGTGTGTGTGTGTGTGTGTGACTGAATGACAAAGAAGACGAGTTATGATATTATCATAAATCAAGCACCCAACTCTTTTTCACTTCTCTCCCATTTCCTTCCTTTCTTCCTTCTTCCTCCCTCTTCCTTTCACCCCATCTTTCTCCCTTCCTCCTTTCCTTCATTCCTTTGTCTTATTTTTTGGTCCACAGTCAAGAGGAACATGGACTACTGGCTCATATGCTGCTCATTTTTAGAATCCGTTCTACTGAAGATCCTGAAATCACTAATAAAATTATTCAACATGTTCTACACAAAAAGCTGAAAAATGCAGTAGGACCCCCTAAGGTTAATCCTGATTCAGTTGAAATTAAAAGTAAGTTTATTTTTGTTATTCTGTTTATTTCTCTTACATAAAAAAAAAATTCTATATCAGTTTTTGGGCACTCATTTTAATTTTTTGGCTATTCTTTAATTCTGGGGTTCTTCTACTGAGAGGACATTGCTTTGTAAGTGAAGTAATCTTAATAAAGTATCCTAATTTGGAATAGGACCCTAAACATATGCCTCCAACCCAAGCTAGCCACTCATCCCTAGCCACATTCTTCCATATTGATCTTAGTCTTTGGCTGTATAATTCAACTCTGAATAGAGAAAGTTACTTTGTATATTTCTTTTCTTTCTCTTAATGCTTCTGTAAATATAATATGTAGATGGAATGGGTCATGTTATTTATACATTTGCTTTTGCATAACATTAATATACCATGTTGTAGCTTCTTTTAGACCATTTACTAATGAAAACACAATTTATTTGTATATATTTTTTGGCGTATTTTGCAATTACCATCAAAAGGACCAAAGAAGGGTTGTTTGTTTGTTTGCTCAAGAACTATAAAGAACAAACTAAGTAGCCATGGCATTTCACTCTTAGAAAGTCAGAATTGTGAGATCTTTAGCAGAAATGAAGAGCTGAGCCACTTGCTTAGGAAGAAGGCTTTAGCAGTAGCAGGGCCAGCTATATGGTCCGTATACTCTAGTGAAAAATGAAAATACCAGGCCTTTTTTCAGAAAGCAAGAAAAAGTAACTGCATCTCACTTTGTTGCCTTATAAGGAAAATAGTGAGCAAGGAAAAATTAACCACTTTTATTTCTCTTTTTTATGTGGCACAGTCTACCAACATTCTCTTCCTTTAGCCACTGATAAGTGAGGAGGGGTAGAAAAGAATTCAGGGTTTCCTTACCTTTTTATATCATTCTTTGCAGCAGGAATAATCTACAAAAGTAGGAGGAACAAAAGGAAATGACAGATCTCATGTTCATTTGTGTTTATTAGCATGTATTTGCTTTGTTTCTGCTAAGCATTTTCTGATACAAACAGACTTCCTGGGACTGCCAGTTGCTGCTTCTTGCTTAGTGATAGGCGCAGCACACTTACCTTGTCCTTGCTGGGAGTCCTGCCAACATCCCTCACATATTTGTATCCATGAGAATCTGCTTTCAGAATTTGCATTGTGAATGATATATACAAATAAAGTGGCAAGAAATTGTATTTTTCTCTACAGTTTACATTCCACTCTGTTATCCTGTTAGACTTCCCTTTCAAACACATTCTAGGTTAAAGTTTTAGAATTTCTGTACATCATCAGCAAAACATTAAACTAAACACCAAACCATTGTAAGCATGAGATTCAGGGTGGGCACACAAGTTGCACATCTGTGAAGACCACTTTGGCAGTAGTGACAACATACATGGAGGACTTTATGAAGGAAGAGCCTGAGCAAGTGAGAGAGAAAGAGAACAAGTTATTTGAAACAAAGAGATCAAAGGTAGTTCTCTTAAAAATTTAAGTTAAATGGTCAATTCTTTGTGTTTGTTATTTTCCCTGCAAATAACTATATGGAGAAAACCAAAAAGAAAAGTTTTAGAATACACATCTCCAGAAAGTCAATACTAAAAAAGAAATTACCAGATTCATGTGTTTTCATTGAGTTTATCCATCATGCACAAATAGAGCACATTTATCATTGGATATCTATTTGGTCACAAACTTGAGAGTTTATAGTATGCATATTTGTGTGTGTGTGTGTGTGTGTGTGTGTGTGTGTATGTGTGTGTGTTACTGTTTGCATAGAGTCAGGGTTGAACTTCTGAGTAGTCAAACAAATAAGGATTTATTGGCCTCAGTTGAATGAGAGTTTGAGGGCATAACGTCTTTGTAAAACCATAGGACAGAGAAGACCTAGAAAGTGATAAGGGTGTTTTAAATGTGAGTGCAGACCAATTTGTGCAGATGCCACTTGGGTGTGTCATACACGTGGGACTAAGCTTAGCAGCTGGGTAAAATAGTCTGAAATAATGGTGAGAGAATGCACCATTCCAGTTAGGGAATAAATACAGTGGTTAGGTAAGTATTTCCCAAACAGGGGCTGTGAACTAATGGAGTCCTAGTTCCAAGTATAAAAATTCATACTCTTGGACTTTTTTTAAACAATTTTTATTTATTTATTTATTTATTTATTTATTTATTTATTTATTTATTTTTATGTATTTAGTACAGGGTCTCACCACACAGATTGGACTCATAGTGATCCTCTTGTTCTCAGCTTCCCTATTACTAGGATTATAGGTGTGCGCCACCACGCCCAGTCTCAATCACCTTCTCAATGCATTCCAGGGTGGAGCTTTTTTTTTTTTTTAATTGCATATAAGGTCTCACTACACAGTTCAGACCCTTAGTGATCATCCTGTCTCAGCCTACCCAGCACTGGGATAGAAGCCATGGGCCACCATGCCTGGTTTCTGGGCCCTTATAGTGTACCCAGGATCCTAGGGCTGGCACAGCATGTGGTACCCTGGATCGAATTTGGGTCCTTGTGCTTGCCAGGTAGGTGCTTAGATCACTGAACTATCTCCCCAACCCCATATTCTTGGACTTTTGATTTAAAACAACTGAATCATAATTACTGGAGAGGGAAATGAATTTACATTACAAACATGATTCCTTTGACTAGTGCAGTGCACACATTAAAGTTTAAAGTGTATTGTTTATATCTCTTCTCCTCTACAAAGCAATGAAAATACAATGTGTATGATAAGCTAACAGTGTTGTTTTCTTTATAATTCCAAAGTACTAGCTTAAAATAGAATTTAGCTGACTTCTAGTGTTTGAAATACTCAGAGGGATATTGTAATTCTGATGTACTGACCTTGTTCTGTGCCTTTTCTGTGTATTTCAGAAATCAACAACTCAGAATCAGACAGCTATCTGAACAATTGTAAGTTTAATATTTCTATTAAGACTGCATTAATCATTTTGCAAAGCTCCAGGCCTAGTTTTTCCTTTGCCTACAACACAGTACCCCACCATGATTCAGAGAAGACATTTACTAGTTTCAGAATCAGTACATATTTCAGTGCATGTTACATTTAGCTTTAAAAATGGAAAGAACTGTGTTGTTCACCACTTAGGAATATTTATTAATTTATCAACGTAATTAACTATGGAGCCAAAAGATAATGCCATTGTAGAAATGACATGTGTGTTACACAACAGGAATGAAAACGTGAAGACATAACCTCAGCCTAAAATAGCTCATATGCTAGGACTAGATTCAGGAAACGTACAGTTCCAGGATAACAGTTCTCAGCCAAGGGCAGTTTTATTGCCAAAGATACCATGTACCACTGTAGAATTTTTTCATGATTGTAGGTTTTTTCTTGACTGTAGATGCTGTTGGTGATATCTAATATACATTAGGCTGTGGCTATCTGCACCACTCAGTGACGCAGAACAGTTAATCTCATCGAGAATTACATGGCTCCAAGTGTCAGAGGTGTCAAAGTTGAGAAACCATATCATAAACAACGCTGAGGAATAATTTGTTGTATATATAATATATATTAAATATATATTAAAGCACATACAATATATATGCAAACATAAAACATGTTTTGTTGTTAAAAAGTATCAGAGAAGTTGTAACTGAACCAGTATGGAGGCAGGGGAATTGGAAAATCATCCTAGGAGAGATCATGCCCGAGTTAAATCTTACAAGATAAATAGGAGTTCACTCTTAGAACAATTAAGTCTATGGTAAGGTATGAACATGAGAGAATATTTGATAAATGAACAAAGTACAAGAAAGTTAGGATATGGTAACAGATTGATGCTTAAAATGGCTGTTGTTGTGGATGGTATTTTCTTAATTTCTTTCTCCATGGGCTAATTATTGCTATAGAGGAATACTACTGATTTGGGTGTGTTGATTTTTTTTATGCTTCTACATTGATAAATCTGGTTATTAATTCTAGGAGTCTTTCGGTAGAATTTTTTGGATCGTCTATGTAAAGGACTGTGTCATCTGCAAGTAGTGATAATTTAGCTTCCTCCCTCGTATTCATATCCCTTTTATTTCTTTCTCTTGCCTGTTTGCTCTGGTTAATGTTTTGAGTACTGTTTTGGAAAGAAGCACTTACAGTATATATTCTTACTTTGTTCTTGATGTTAAAGGAAAAACATTCAGTTTTTCCTCATTTAATATTATGATGGCAGGAGGTTTGTCATAAATGAATTTTATCTGGTTAAGGTAAGGTCCTTTTCTGATTTGTTTAAAAGTTGTATGGGTTCTCTAAAATGAGAAACCTGAATTACAAATCAATCAAAGTGCAAAATGAAAGAATGACAATGGGAAATAAAGAGATAGATGCTTGGTGAATGAGAAGGGGACGAAGAGATGTGGGAAGGCGGGGGAAGGGGACCTCAAACAACATTAAGATCTGTTAAGTACATGCACCAGCTACCCACAATGTATGTCTTCATTATGGACTGTGAAAATGTACTAGCAACACACTGTAAAGAAAACAAAATGACTGTTAATGAGTGCATCATCTGACTTTGGAGGCTGTGGGACCCGAAGGACTCCATCTGCGAAGGACAGCGTCAGGATTGTTGGTGGTACAGAGGTAGAAGAGGGAGAATGGCCGTGGCAAACCAGTCTGCAGTGGGATGGTGTCCACCGCTGTGGAGCCACTCTGATCAATGGTTCCTGGCTTGTGAGTGCTGCTCACTGCTTTCAAATGTAAGTCCTAAATTTGGGAATGTTTGGGAGTCAACGAAGGGCACTGTGTAAGGAACTAAAAGAGTAAATAAGATCCAAAAGGTACAGTAGATATTGTGAAAGGGAAAGAAACTGCTTAAAAGGAAAGAACAACTGGGTTGGGGAAAGGAAAAAAGAAAAAAAGGGGGAAAAAGCACATACACACACACACACACACACACACACACACGATAGCTAAGATAATTTTACTGCTTTCTATTAGTTCATTGAAAGGAACAGTGCTTACATTGTTTGATCAGTTTTCTATGACTATGTGTTGTAATCTGAGCAACTACTTTGAGGATAGCAATATGCAACATAACCATTGTTAATTTCCTATCATCTTGTTTTGAAATTCTGTATCACTTTTATTGTTTTTCTTTCCCTATTTAAAATAAAAATGGGGATGGTTTTCCTATTCACAAGTAGATATCACAAAAGAGAGTTAAAGTCTCTTGAAGCTTAGAGCAATGTTTTGTGTCTTAGAATTGAAAATGGTGTCAAGATACAGTTCTGTGAATTTATCCATTAATATGACAGTTTGTCAAAGAAATCACAAACTTTAAGTATCTTCATACCTTAAGCTTGATATCAAAGAGAACTAAATGTCTTTATAGGTGACAGAGGCTGGACAAATTATAGGATTTACCTTAATGGGAAAATTCCATTGTGGAAGGAAACTAAATTAAATATGAATAAACTGGGAAGTAGCAAATTATACAATTAAATATAATTACTAGCTCTACTTTAATGAATACAGAACTTTTCGACTCAATGTCAAATATCTTCAAGATATAGAACAATAATACCTCATTTAATTATGGTACAGCCTTTAGCTTTCCAGGGAAATGTGTGTTTGAGCACTGAGGGTGTCAAGCACATAGAATAAAGGTAACTTTCTGATTCTGTGCAGGATATTATTTCTGTATGAACTTTGCAGTCACTGTTGTCCCATAACACCAAAAGGCTACAGGCTCTGGTATTTATAACCTAACACACATGCCTTGTTGGATTTTCTACCTGATCTGCTCCCTGACCTTGATTCTCAGATTAGAAAAGATTTATTTTAATAGATAGAAACTATTCCTTTGAAATGGAAAAACTTACATTGACAACTTTGGACTAAGTTGCTTCATATAAATTATTAGATTGGCAGCACAATAAAATAGAACTTATTCTTTATTTTTTCTCCTTAGGTATAAGAACCCAGCCAGATGGACTGCTTCCTTTGGAGTAACAATAAATCCTCCCAAAATGAAAAGAGGCCTCCGGAGGATAATTGTCCATGAAAAATATAAACACTCATTGCATGATTACGATATTTCTCTTGCAGAGCTTTCTAGCCCTGTTCCTTACACAAATGCAGTGCATAGAATTTGTCTCCCTGATGCCACCCATGAGTTCCGCTCAGGAGATGAGCTGTTCGTGACAGGGTTTGGAGTAGTGCAAAATAATGGTAGGCACCTAAAGAGCAACTCAGATCCTACTGACTTAATTTGGGATTACAAGGCATTTAAGGAAAATAATGTCTTATTTTCTTATCCCAAAATCTGTTGGTTGGTTAGCTGGTTGATTATATGCACCAGAGCTAAGTTAAGTTCTGTGTCATTTAGAAGATATATTAATTATTTCCTGCCTTTATTTATTATTAGTTACATAATTACTATAGTAATAATGCTGGTAAGGTATTTAAAAGAACAAATATATTTCCTAGCCATTGTATATTTTGCTAAAGAATTAGGCAGTTTAAGAGACATAAGAGAATTGATAGAGACAGAAGTGAAGATCAGGTAATCATAAATCCAATGTTCTCTCCAAACAAAATTTCTTCATAGTCTTAACAGTGGAGTAGAACCTACTTAAATAACTTGAGTTTATTTTCTATGTATCTGAATTTTCTACTTCGGAAAGACTTATCGTCTTAAATTTTAGTAAATATAAACCACACATATTATAAGATTAAACATCACTTCTTATTTAATATTTATTAAAGACTTTCTTTAGGTTTGCAAAGTATGTGTATATCTGAAAATAAAAGACCCTTTTCCTTTTAGGCTACACTCAGAATCATCTTCGGCAAGTACAGATCAATCTTATAGACACTAAAACGTGCAATACACCTCAAGTTTACAATGGTGCCATAACTCCAAGAATGTTATGTGCTGGTTCCTTAAAAGGAAAAAGAGATGCATGCCAGGTAAGTGGCTTTTTCTCTTAGTGCTATAGGAAAAATACAACTCCCAACCTGATCAATGTCAGGTATGCCAAATTCCTGTCCCTTGATATAAAAGAATGAATTTCAAAGGACTATGGATGTTAAAAGTAGGAAAAGTTTGTTGACAGATACCTCCTGAGAGAGGAGAGGGATCCTGTAAGTGGGTTGCCATTGAGGCCTGTGTCAAGGGTAATTTATACAGCAAAGTCACAAAGTAGGTACAACGTGGGTCAAACCACAGTCAACCTATAGGATTAGTAGTGTAGCTGCTTCCCAAATGGATCATCAGGTCACATAACAAGGATACATGGAAAGAACAAAGGCATTCTGGGGATGAGATGGGTCTGAGTATTCTGGTCACTCACCTAGCAAATGGCTGCCTCTCTGGACTTCCTGGACCACGTGGTGCTAATCAGAGAGTATCACTCCAGGATATGACTTATCCCTTAGGGAGCGTGGAGGGCTGGCTGCTGCATCTCCATCTTGAGGCCTGGTCTTCAGTTGTGCCTCCAGCCATAATTCTGAAGTCTTCATTTTCCACTGACTTCCTTGAGAGCCCAGGCCCTCTCTGTCTATCCATCAATTTTTACTTAACTTAGCTACCTACAATATTATTGTGCTGCATAAGGTTTCACCTTTTTTGATATCGTTACTGATTTATATGAAGTTACAAAGAGATTATATAAGAGTTGTGTACCAGTTTTCCCCATAAAATCCAAAAAATTAATAGTATAAAGTGCATCTAGACTGATGGCATTTTGCTACATGTATAGAGTTATGTAACCACCACTGAAATTAAGATGAAGTCCATTCCATTAAAAAGATGTATAAAAATACCACATATTTTTCATCCATTCCTCAGGTGTTGGGCATTTTTGTTGTTTCTAAGATTTGGCTATCACAGATTGTGCTGCTACAAACATGGGCGCACATATATCACTATATGATGTTTTCAGTTCTTTTTGGAAAATTCCCAGAAGGGAAATAGCTGGGTTGAGTGGAATTGCCACTCCTAGTTTTTTGAGGAGTCTCCACACTGATTTTCATAATGGTTGTACCAGTCTCCATTCTCACCAGCAGTGGAGAAGGGTTCCTTTTTCCCTGCAGCCTCTTCAGCATTTGTTGTTAATCTGATCAACAGGTTTGATGATGAAAATAAGAACTATATCAATCATTGTTAATCAGCTATTTTTGTTTTGAAAGTCTGTAACTTATGTATTGTTATATGTTATCCTGTTTCTGTATTTGTTTTTCTTGCTCTTGTTTTTACTCTTAAAAATAAAAGAAAATTATTTTTTAAAAAGGATAGTGTTTTAAAGATGTAATTCACTGTTTATATCCAAGAAATTTATCTCACCAATAAAATCATATAAGATTGAAAAGAAGAGGTACCTTATTAGTAACATTCTCTTCCCCTGCCTATATTTCTAACATCTGGCAATCACTGTTTGTCATCCATTTCTTTTTTTTTTTTTTTTTTTTTCCTTTTTTTTTCCCGGAACCAAGGATTGAACTCAGGCCCTTGCGCTTGCCAGGGAAGCACTTATTCCACTGAGCCATCTCCCCAGCCCCTCATTTCTATAATTTTGTGATTTCCATAATGTTATACAAATAAAATCATGCAGCAACTTTTTAGAATTTCATTTTAATTTATCTATTAATGTTTTTGACTATCTGTAGAAAAATTTTAGTGGTTCTTTTGTTGCCTATCTCTGTCTTTCCCCTATCCACAGTAACATCTTACTAGTTTAAATGGAGTAAAGAACAGAAAGCTTACCTTCCTTCAATTCTCTTATTACTTCCATGACTGGAACATTGTTACAATATTATAATAAATATGAATATTACACATATATATATATATATTGAGAAACACATCATAGAATACTTTTATTCAATTTCCAAACATAACTTGGAAAACTGAAGAGTAGAAGAAAAGTATTATTTATTCATAGTTTTGTTCTTCCCTCTTAATTTGATTATTCCTTTTTTAAAAAAAGAAATCACTTCTGCTTTAGAAATTCTGGGCCAGAGATTTAGCTCAGCAGCACAGTGCCTGCCTGGCAAGTGTAAGGTCCTGAGTTTCTTCTTCTCCTCCTTCTCCTTCTCCTTCTCCTTCTCCTTCTCCTTCTCCTTCTCCTTCTCCTTCTCCTTCTCCTTCTCCTTCTCCTTCTCCTTCTCCTTCT